TAGCACATTTTTTTAAAGTTTATTTTTTTAGGTGTAGTTGAACACACATCTTTATTTTATTTATCTATTTTTATGTGGTGCTGAGGATCGAACCCAGGGCCTCGCACATTCGAGGTGAGCATTCTACTGCTGAGCCACAACCCCAGCCCCAGTTTTTAGTACATTTGCATGGTTGTGAAACCATCACCACTGTAATTCTTGAACATTCTCATCATCCCACAAAATACACCTATTAGCAGTCACTCTCCATTTCCTCATCCCCCCACCCCCAATCCCCTGGCAACCCCTAATTTGCTTTTTATTTTTATGCATGTGCCTATTCTGGACATTTCACATAAAGGAACCACACAACATGTGGCCTTGTGTATCTGGCCTCTTTTCATTCAGCATTGTTTTCATGATTCATCCAGGTTATAGCATGTGTTGGTACTCTATGCTGAATAATAATCCATTGTATGGATATACCAATTATATTGATCCACTTATCAGTGGATAGATATTTGGATTGCTTCACTTTTTTCGCTATTATAAATAACACTGTAATGAACATTCATATACAAGTTCTTGCTGTGGAATGTTTTCAGTTCTTTTGGGTACATGCCTAGGAGTGGAATTACCAGGTTATATGTTAACTCTAATGTTGAACTTATTGAAGAATTGTTTCCAAAACTGCACTATTTTACAGTCCCACCAGCAATGCATAAGGGTCTAATTTTCCACATCCTCACCAAGAAGGAGTAGTAGTAGTTGTTGTTATTATTATTATTATTAAATCATTAGATTATTCTAATAATCATTAGATTATTCTAGAATCATTCTTTATTTTTACCTCATCAATACTGCATTAGCCACATTAGTATCACAACAGGTATAGAAATTATCTAAATTAAAACAAAAATTTCCTAGATTTTGTGATGTTTGTAAGAACACTAAAAGTGACACAAAGTACTCTTTCCTAGCAGGGAATAGTCAATTCACCATCATACGTTCCTCATTAAATCTAGGAACAAAAATCACTTTGGGAACAAATTGCTATTTTAAACACAGAGCAGCCTGGGTTAGGCATATGAATAGACTTTAAATAGCTTCCTACACGCATTTCACATTATTTCACTTCAGGCTCCCTCTTTTAAGGTGAAGAAGTCAAACCCAGGAACCGACCTGGTCACTAGTAGGCAATCTAACTCATTTGAAGCCCTGGGCAGGACTGCTGGAGCAGGCGCACACCCACAGCCCCGCCCACCGGGGCCCGCCCCCTCCTAAGACACCCACGCCCTCCGACGTCGAGGGGCGGGAATAATCGACCAATTCAGCGAGTCTCCGGGATCCAACGCTCTGTACTGGCTGATTAAATTTAATGTCTTAGCAACGCTCCAATCCACAGGGTAGAGGCGTGGCTAAAACCCGGTGGCGTAGGGCTGAGGGAGGAGACCGCCGGCTGGGAACACGTGACCTGGGCCTGGCGCCGGAAGCTACCTATCTAGTGGGGAGCTCCTCCAGCACCTAGGGCTGCGATGGTGAGTGAGGACGCATGCGCGGGAGTACGCGCTGCGGGTTCTGCGCCCACAGTCTTTGGTTGCCCCCTCCTGGGCCGGCGTTCCACCCTTACCTCCAGTCGGTCCCGGGATGGAGAGGGAATGGAGATGGGAGGAGCGGCGACGGAGCGGGCTGAAGAGGAACCTGTGGGAGGGTGTGCAGGGGTTGGGAGCAGTCTGCGGGTTAGGGGCGGGACACCTGCGACTGGAAAGAGGGGCAGCGCGGAGGGGCGTGTGGGGCAGTGAAGGCCGTCAGGGGTAGTCAAGAGGGGGAATGGAAGGCCCAGGAGATTCCGGGGCAGAGAGGGCAGATGGAAACTCAGGAAGATCAGCATAGGGGGACACATAAGGGGAAGAGGGTCCGGAAGGGGCCATCGTCAAGAGAAAGACTCGGGTTTTCAGGTGAAGAGGTCCATCTTGCCGCTTGCTCCTCACTGCTCGCATCTTTACCCACTAGACTTCTGCACTGACCCAGGGACTGGAGCGAATCCCAGACCAGCTCGGCTACCTGGTGCTGAGTGAAGGTGCAGTGCTGGCGGTGCGTTCTGGGAAAGGGAGGTGACGTGGCTGGGTAACCCTTTTTAATTGTGCCTAGTTTCACCTAATTTGCCTTCATTTTCGTCCTTTTACCTGGTATCCCCCCTGGCATACCGTAAGCTTTTGGTAATTAATCTCTGGAATCTTAGTCTTCTAACTGTTCCAAGGTAAAAGAGGTCTACCAATGTTACAAAGTCATACAACTCATTTCAGGTTGGTTGATAAGAATCAACAATGCCCAGATGTTTTCTCCAGTACATCTTTATTCGGTATTTCTTGAAGACATCTTTGTATTTTGTTCTGTAATATTATATAGTGTAGCTCTGTAGAAATATTTGCTCTTTCTGGAGAGACAAGGCTTAAAGTTCAAGGTTGAAAACAGTGCAAGTGTTTTGGACTGCTGAAGGATCCAAAAATGAAAGATTCAGCCCTTGGCGTTATAACTTGTGTTATGGGAAGACTTTCTTGGATGCAGAAGTTCAGCTCAACTTAAAGGATGAATGATTGTAAATGGATGGGGAAAAAAGGAAAATAGTCAGGGCTGGGAACTGGACATATTTACAGGATTGTGACCCTGCCTATCTGAATTGATTGTGGGTTGATATTGCAAAGGTTTGTGGGGAAAGGATCTGATTGAAGAGGCCTTGGATTTAATCTTTAGTGTAACAGAAGTTTTGAAAATTTATACTACAGAAACAGGACCCAGTGATATGGTTGAGCAAGATTGTTGGTTGTATGGAGATGGGCTGGAAGGGAATCTAGGTATGAGACTAGGCTGAAGGCCGTATAGTGCAAGAAGAAATTTTTAGAGAAATCAATATATCCTGGTAATGACTTGATATTAGGTACTTTTGTGGGTACTTCTTTTGTAGGAGATACTTCTCCAATCACTAAGACTTTGCACTGAGAAGCCTAGAAGAATGACATGGTACCTAACAAAATCAAGAAAGGAAGTTGACTGGGGAGGGAGGTGGATAAGGGAAAATTTTCTTGGTTCCATTGTAGATAATTGAGTTCAAGGTAGAATAATAGCAGTTAGTAAATATTGCTACGGATTGTTCTAAGGATCTCCCAGTATTATACCTTGTAACCCTTCCAAGTCCACTAGATAGATATTATTGTCCCTAATGTACCGATGAAGAAACTGAGGTAAAAAACATCTGGGTTCAGAGAGAACTAAACTAAACCTACGTACAAGTCCATATCAGAGGTAAGAGAGGAAGTTGAGACAGTCAACAGAAAGAAGTCCAGGACTACTGTCATTATCACCCAAGAAGTAAATAGAGGGAGTAATTTAAGAACAAAGAAGATGTTTACAATTCAGATTTTACAGACAAGGCAGCAAGTGGGAAGACTGACAAAAGATGAAGCCTTTAACAAGTCACTGTGGATAGGCACCAATCTTGGAGAATGATTTTACCACTAGATAGGGACAAGGAAGGGCATTCAGTTTCAAGGGGTTAGAAGATAGGCCAGACACGGTGGCGCATGCCTGTAATTCCAGTGGCTTGGGAGGTTGAGGCAAGAGGATTGCAAGTTCAAAACTAGCCTCAGAAACTTAGTGAGACCCTGTCTGAAAACAAAATATAAAAAAGAACTGGGGGTGTGGCTCTGTGATTAAGTATTCAATACCCCATAGAAGGGGGGGCAGGGGGGAGGAGAATCCAGTAGAGTTGGATGAGTTGCTTGCTGCTCAGTGGAGGAAGCTGGTATTGTAAGGATGAGAAACAGAATGGCATAAGAAGGGAGACTATTATTAAAGAGGTTTTAGGTCAGGTTTTCCAAAACTGGGTGACCCCCGGGTATTGGAAAGCACGGAGAGGCAGAGGGCCTATGCCTAGGATTCCTTCCCAATTCTGTAACCTCATTTTCTACACCCTCCCCTCCCCATTTACTTGCAGTCATCTGGGGATCTTGAGAATGATGAGCAGGCAGCCAGCGCCATCTCTGAGCTCGTCAGTACAGCCTGTGGGTTCCGCCTGCATCATGGCATGAGTGTCCCCTTCAAGCGCCTGTCAGGTGAGCCCCAGCCCCAGCCCCCTGGTGGTAGGAGTGGGAGATATTTCCAGATGTTTTAGGGAAAGAAACCTTTCTCCTTCTACCACATGGCACCAATTCCTGGGTCTGTGGTTCAGCCACTTCTCTCTCTGGGATTCCCTAGTGTCAGGACTGAGTAAGCAAGAGAAGGAAGATCTCAGAGCAGCCTCTTCCAATCTCTCCACCTCGAACTACAGAATTGCTTTGCCTTTCAATCCCAGCCAGCTTGTGACCCTGTAGAGGTTGTTGTACCCACTAACTCTGTGTTCCCTTCCCTCTCCTGGGTGGGGGAAGGTGTTTCCCCTCCAGTGGTCTTTGGAGAACACACACTGCTGGTGACTGTGTCAGGACAGAGGGTGTTTGTGGTGAAGAGGCAGAACCGAGGCCGGGAGCCCATTGATGTCTGAGTTTGCCAGAGAGCCAGGGTTGGAGAAATGGACTGGATCCTTTGGCTTCTGTGATGAGACACGTGTCCTCCACTTCTTGCTTGGCTCGCTGCTGGAACTAGGGTCTTCTGCTTACCCCCCTTTCCACCCCCCACCTGAAGAACAGAGGTTTGCGTACTTTATGCTGTGTTAAGGAGAATTTGGGCAAGGGTTTCTTTCTTTTCCCTTCTAATAAACATGAGTCTGATGTTCCTAGACTCAGGATGTGTGTATGGGGGAGGGACTGCATTTGGGTGGTTTATACCTTGTGTCTTCCAACTCCTGGACAATTGTGTACCTCAGCCCAGGGTAAGTGGGACAGGGCCACTACTGGGCATTCTAAAACTGGGGATTGAAAAAACAAGGACAGGAAGGGAGATATTTGTGTGCATGCTGAAGGGAATCATCCCGAGCCCCACTGGTCTGCTCTTTCCACCAACATACAAACAACAATCATACAACAGTCATTCTTCTCCCTCCTGAATGGGCATTTAATAGTCTTATTTCAGTTGGAAGCTGTAGTTCAAGAATAAGTTACAGGAACAGACAAAAAAAAAAGATACAACTTAAAGTGCTTCAGGCTGCCAACGTAAACATGAGGGGCAGAGGAGGCCACCTAGTATCTCCCCAACCCCTGAGACAGGAGGGTCATCGTCAGAATCCCTGTACCAACACCACCTTCTAAACTCAGCCCTGCGGGTGGGTGGGAGGGAATGCTGGAGGCAGAAAGGACACAATAGGAATGAGGAAAATACTCTGTAAACTTAGAACAAGGATGAAGGGCTGGGGTAGGGCCAGCCCCCCCCACAGGAACTTGGGGAAACACTGTTGGCGGAGCACTGCAGCCACACCATCCACTTCACAACTTCTGCCCTCATCCATCAGCAGACACAGACAGGCGGCCCTGCTGGGCTTCTTCACCCACGGTGGGAGGTGTCCCAGGGGAGGCACAGTCTGAGAGCGAGGAGCCCTCCAGGGGCTTTGGGTTTCTGTAGTATATGGGGGGGGCAGAGCCGCATGGTGCTACTTGACGGGCTCAACCACCAGGACTTTGCACTCGCGCTTGGCAATCTTGTCCAGAGAGAGCACAGCCTTGTCCGGGGGCAGGTAGAGAGGGCGGCCAACAGGGGAAGCCACAGGGGGTGTGATGGCCCTGCGCTCCATCACACTTCCTGACCTGGAAGAAGGCAGAGACTGTGAGCTCTGCTCAGCCTCCACACTGCTCCCTGCTCCCTAGTTCCAGCCTCTGCCCAGGCCAATGCCACATCTGCCCCACTTCCTACCTCATGAGGTGGCTTCGGGAAGGCTGTTGGTGGGAGAAGGACTGAGAGCGGCCCAGGCTCGCCTGGTGCCTCTCCACCAAGTCCCGGACAGCAGGGCTGCTGGGGCTGCTCTTGCGAGAGAGGGGCCGGGCCTCAGGAGGAGGGTGGGACACACTGGCAGTGAACTGCAGCTTCAGTTTCATGTGCTGGCTCAGCTAGGTGGGGAGAGACACCTCAGCATTCCAGCTGGCTTCTGGGCCCAGACCTTCCCACTCAACAGATCCAGGTCAGAGCTCGTTCCACTCTCCCTCTGCCCAGCCTTCTAGTGCCACCCATTATCCTCCATAGAAGCTAGGGGCTGTGACTGTTCCACCTCAACATCCTGCAGCACTAGCCCACCTCAAAGAGCCCCGTCCTCAGAGCTTGGAAGGCCACACTGAAGGTGAGCGCACTGCCTTTCCGGGAAAAGCCAAGGTTGTTGAGGGGGGTGTGGCAGACGATGGAGTCCAGGGCTGCTTGCATGGCCCGGCGTTCCTCCTCACACAGCTGCTTTCCTGGGGGCAGAAACAGGCATCAGTGAACACTGGACAGTTCCTCAGTTCCCAGAGGCCGCCATCAGCATGGTCACATTTGATTTGCAAAGCATTCTGTGGAACAAACTGAGGAAATGTTGTCTTTTGCCAAGGGTTAAGGGTAACAACAGCTATACAGTGTGTGCTGGGTTTTGTTCCAATTAACTCATTGATCTTCATAACAACCCAAAATATTAGGACTGGGTGTGGCGGTACACTATAATCCCAGTGACTTGGGAGGCTAAGGCAAGAAGATTGCAAGTTCAAGGCCAGTCTCAACAATTTAGCAAGAATCTATCTCAAAACAAACAAGAAAAGGACAGGAGGGGCTGGGGTTGTGGCTCAGCAGTAGAGCGCTTGCGTTGCATGTGTGAGGTATTGGATTCGATCCTCAGCACCACATAAATAAATTAATTATAAAGGTATTGTGTTATGTACAACTAAAAACAATTTAAAAAAAGGACAGGAGATATAGCCCAGTGGCAGAGCGCAGCTAGGTTCAATCCCTAGTACCAAAAAATAAAATAAACATAAAATATTAGGAGTGAAGACCAATGTCCAAAGAGTAATATAACATACCCAAGGTCACACAGCTAGTCAATGAGAGGTAGAGCTCATACCACAGAATGTAGCCTTATTGTCCATGCCCTTCAAGTCACTGTCCCAATGCCTCTCTAAACTCTATTTGTGATCCTGAGGAGACCACCAGGTACACAGCAAGAGCCACCCACTACAAGTCACCTAGGTGGGGCAGGCACCAGATCTAAGCTGTTCTCACTGGTCTACCTCTTTGAATTCTTCCTTTTCCCTCCCCTCCTATGGAACTAAGTCCAGCCAGGCAGCTGACCCACCAGCCTGTGCATGCTCCGGGGTCCACACAAGCCTCACAGCAAGGAAGTCTTGAAGATTGTTGAGCAGTGTGTAGGTGACAGTGAAGCGCTCATAAGTCCGAACAGGGGACTCACAAGAAGCAGTCATCACAAAGCACGGACGGTCCAGGCGGACATTGGGCAGGCTAGGAGCAGTGAGAGAGGGAAGCTAGATGTGGGTCAGGCAGCAGAGGTGAGCGGAATGGTGCCTGGTAGGGGCCCCACACACTGACCGGTAGTGGGTATAGATGCTCTGGGTGAAGGGCAGCTTTGGGGTGGACCACTGAACCACAGCAATCAAGGGAACTTCTAGGCCCTGCAGGTGAGACACAAACATCAATATCACTTGCATCAGAATTCCCCTCCAGTCTAGTCAAGCCCCTTGCCTTTGCCTTCCACTGCCTTTTCTTATCCTTTTTCCTCGAACACACCAGCCCTTTATTCTTACCTCCTTGGCTCCTGGAGGGGGCTGCTCACCCCCTCTCAGCTGAAACAGGAAGTTGTGTTCCTCCAGGGCACTAAGAGGACAGGGGAAGCAGCCAGAGGTACCAGGGAGTCGGCAGAAGGAGCCCATGGAGACTTCCCCAGACTGGTGACTAGTTGAGAAGAGAGGACAAGACATGAACAACTCCCCATGTCAGAGCTCAGCTCCTGCTCCACCCCTGCCCTCCCCAGGACCTCACCAAACATTGTCCACCAGCAGCACAGAGCCATCAGGCATGACAGGTAGATAACTGGCATTGAAGTTGGGGAGGATTCGGATATCCCAGATGGAGATTTCCTCCTGGGAGGAACTGTTCAGCACTGTTGGAAGTAACCAGTCGGCCTCAGCATAGCAGGATACCTCAAGACCACTAGGTACACAGCAAGAGCCACCCACTATAAGTCACCTACTGTGGTGGGACTGGCACCAGATCTGAGCTGTTCTCACTGATCTACCTCCTTGAATTCTTCCTTTTCCCTCCCCTCCCATGGGGCTAAGTCCAGCCAGGCAGCTGACCCATCAGCCTGTGCATTCCCATCAGCCTGCCCCAAGTAACTATCATCTAATCAATTCTCTTGCTGATGCCCAAGACTTGAGCCAGCAGATCTCCTCACCCTTGAGCACGGTCAAGTGTTTTCCAGCCACAGTGAACTGTCGACATTTCAGAACTGGAGGGGGCAGCAGCGTCAGCAGGGTGCTCACTGCAGAAGAGGAAGAGGCAAGAAATGAGGGGCTGGGCCCAGACTTTCCCCCCAACTCACAGTAATCACCTTCCTCTTCTCCCCCATCAGGCACTTTCCAGTATCACCCCTCCACTCTGTACCCCCAAATACCATACTCTGGTTTTTCCCCTCCTGCAGTCTCCTCCCACCTTGGGCCTTGAAAGCACTCTGCTCGCCCCGGAATGTCTCCCCAGGAGATCGGGTCTGCAGCAAGCGCAAGTAGCCTTGATCTCTGACCTCTGGTGCCTCAACCTCCCGTTTCCACACGGTCACTACAATCTGGGTACAGGAGACATTGGACCATGGTCAAGAGGAGAGACGTGGCAGGGCCTTGAAAGGATGTCTGAATTAAGACATCAGCTCCACCCTGGCTCAACCTACCTTGGCCTTAGGTGTCCCTGGGGGCAGTCTATCCAGTGAAACAGTGAGTGGGAAGATGACCTCATCTGTGGACACGATGGGTTCCTCCACAGGCAGCTGGGATTGTGAAAGGGGTGAAGAGGTCAGGAGTCAGAGGCGGCCTAAAACGCTTCCTTTAATTTCCGCAGTAACGGTCCTTCATGCCTTCCCCTCTATCATCTGCCTCCTGCCTTAGGTACCCAGCGTCCATCTCCCAAACTGCATTTGGCACCCAGCAAACTGCTCTCAGCCCTGTGCCGTGTCACCCCAAGTTCCTCACCGTGGTCGCTGCCCCTGAGGTAGCAGGGCCCGGGCCGTGGGTGAGAAGAGGGCTGCAGCCTCGGAACACGCCTCCACCCCCAGGGTCCCCTCCCCCTGGAGGTTCTGGGTCCTGGTCGCTGGTGCCACTGCCCCCTGGTAGCACGCCCCCGGCGCTGACAGAAGCCAGGGCGGCCAGGGCAGTTGCCAGTTCTGCCCAGGCCCCTCGGGAGCTCAAGCCCGGGCCGCCCCCGGCACCAGACCCGGCGCCACCCCGGCAGCGTAGGACCAGCAGGAAGCGGACAGTCTCCCCGAGGTACAGATGGTTACGCCGGGGCAGCGCCCGGTACCGGCCCGGGTCCCCCGCCAGCTCCGCGCGCGGTGGCAGCGGCACGGCCGGGAAGTACATCGAGTAGTCGCACTGGGACTCCATGGGGCGGCGAAGACGGCGCGAACCGGGGCCGGCCGGAGGCCGAGGGGCCGGGACCCAGACCAGCCCCCGCGGGAAGCGAGGGGGCCCGCGGGGCTGGGTCCGGCGGGTCCGACGCCTGAGTGGTGATGCGCGCAGCCGGCCGGCCCCAGACGCCAGCCCGGCTCGGAAACCCGGGCAACGAACCCCGGAACCCAGACTCCGCGGCGCCGGAATCGTGGTGGGGGCTGAATGACTGGTGAAAAACCGGAAGCGGAAAGGGAGGGGTGTGGCCTCCGAGGCCCCAAGATCTGTGTGCGTCGCGACCTTGGAGAAGGGGGCGGGGCCGGGGTGCGTTAGGTTGCTGCGAGACGGGTGGGAGACGGCAGACCGGCTTCTTGTGGGGAAAAAAATACTAAAAAATCCCTTCCGATCCCGCTTCTCACTGAACTATTCTCCATACCTCCTGTTTCCGTCCTACATATATCAAGTGGAAGTTTCATATCATTTATTCATTGAACAAACATTTCATAACGAAGTGAACATAACCCAATAACGTTTTCTAGAGAAATGGACCTATCATTTCAACTCACCATGCCCTAAATTTTCTGTGGCTCTCTCCATCTTTTACTCCTCCCGGGGACTTTGGAGAGTGCTACGTGGACCTGCCTTGGGGAAGTGGAGAGGGGAGGGAGGCACTGCTGGGTTTCCCAGGCATAGGTCAGAAAACTTGGGGTCTACGTCAAGGTAAAGTTCCATCCTTTCCCAGGGATGCAGAGATTGCTTGTGGCAGCCCCACTCTCATCACATGTGTCCTAATCTGTAGCTTGATGCCTAGAGGAAAGTAGCCTTGAAGTCTTCAAGGATATTGAGACTGGAGAGGGAAACTGCTTAGCATCCAGCTTGTCCTTGTACTGTAGCTCAGGGGTAGCCAGGCGTTCACAATCCTCCCGGTCTTTAGGGCTCAAACTACTCCGAAGTGCATAGCCCAAAACTTTAGCTGACCCATACTGGAAGGGGCGGAACTGACTGTTGGTGATATATTTGGGGTCTAAAGCCTTACCTCCCTGCAGGCAGTGTTTAGCCATAGCCTCTCTACGAGCCCGAAGCTCAGCCACAGCATGCTTCAGTCGTCTCTGGCCATATTGTTCTATCCGTGCCCAGAGGCTGCGGTTGAAGTGAACATAGAGAGCCCAGTCCAGGTTGTTCCAGGCTCTGGCCCGAGCCGTCAGCTGCTGATCCTCAGCAGTTAGTCCACCAGTGCCAGCAGCCCTGAGGCCCTGCTCACCTCCAGCCTGAGCATTGTGCATGAAACCCACCACATCATCCAGACCCCAGCACAAGGCATCTGCCAGCAGAACCAGTGATTCGTCAAAGTACTCAGCCACCATGACCAGGTCAAAAACAGAGTCCAGCCAGGCCAGGCCCCACTGAATGAAGGATGAGGACCCCAAATTGAAAGAGGTAGGGCTGACTGCCTGGCTGTGACCATCAGCAACAGTGGAAACAGGCTGCAAGAGAGCATTGGGATCTAGGATTTGGGCTCGAGGGCCAGTGCCAGAAGGCAAAACATGTCCCTGGTGGGAGTCAGGGTCTTTGGGATTCCCTCTCTTGATCCTCTTCTCTGGAGGGAAGGGCAGGCCAAAGTCAAACCATAGCAAATTTCGAGCATAGTAGTCCCCACGACCTCCAGGCCGGTAGAAGGCTCGAGGGTTGGCCAGGAAGGCAGCCAAAGATGGTGCCTTGCGGAAGGCTGATGAGGTGGATTTATAGTAGGAGAAGGCAGAGCGGGCCAGAGCCGCTGGGTCACGAACAATGGAAAAGAAGAAACTATCAGAAGGCATTACCTGAAGTACCTGCAGAGGAGAGAAGACACACATAGGAAAAAAAACTGAGCCTGGGGGAAAGTAGGCACCAGCCAAAGCCCTATTGATCCCACAACCTCCCCACAGCTCTGCTGGGGACCACCAGCTTCCCTCAGTAGCTGGATGACCTTTACTTCACATCTCTAAGTCTCAGTTTGCTCATCTACAGAATGGGGATAATTATAGGTTCCCAGGTGATTATAGAGGATAAAGGATATAAAAGGAATGAAGAAACCTGGAGCCAGGCGAGCATCACACGCCTGTAATCCCAGCCACTTGGGAGGCTGAGGCAGGAGGATCACAAGTTCAGGTCAACCTCAGCAACTTAGTGAAATCCTAAATAAATAAAAAAAAAATTAAAGACCTGGGGAAGTAGCTCAGTAGTAAAGTACCCCAGGTCTTTAATTTTTTTTTTATTTATTTAGGATTTCACTAAGT